GGGGGGGGTCTGGCAGGCAGGGGGGCTGCCCCGGCGGGTACTCCGGTCCCCTCAGCCTGGGTCCTCCAGAGCTTTCTGAGGAGCCATTTACCGTGGCTTCTTCCACCCCAGCTTGAAGCCTGACCTTCACCCTGCCCCTAGGCCACCTCCCCTCCCCCCGACATCCCCCCTTTGACTCTCAGAGGGCACTGAAGCCGGGGGATCCTAGGCTCTTAGCCAAGCATTCATGCCATCCCTGCCCAGGCGTGGGGGGTGGGGTGGGGTGGCCCCGCCCCTACCCACAGCTGCCCTCTTTCACGGACACTTCAGCTCTGGGCACCAGGACTTTGCTTCTCTAGTGTCTCCGCCACCTGCTGGCATCCTTTCGCACCACCCACTGCCGGCCTAGCTCCCTCTGCAAAGCCCCAGAGCTGGGGGTCATCTGGTTCAAGGGCCTCTGCAAGGCTCCGAGTCTAGGGGAGGGATCAGGGCACACAGGCCCTGGCAGGGTTCTAGAAGGTCTGAGCTCAGAGCTCAGTACAGAGAAGCTAGTCTCCTGGGGCCCTTGCCCCCTCCAGGCACTTGCTTCCACCTGCTGGAGGGGAGCTGGGCTCCTCCCCAGAAGGTCTCTCTACACCCTCCCCTCTTCAGACTTCCCTGACTCTCAGGGTTTCTGCAACTTCCAGCTGTCCATGCACCCCCCAAAGTGGGCGAAGAATACAAAGCTAGCCGCCACATCAATAGCCTGAGCAAGTCGCTCAGTGCGGTGGGCCTTTTGAGATGGGATCAACCTTGTGGGGGCCCCCACAGGTTGGGGAGAGCCCACCCACACCCACACTGGGACCTCTAGGTCTGCCTCGGGCGAAGAAAACCTGAGGCTCTGACTGGCCCTGCCTGCCCAGTTAAGGGTCCTGGCCCTCACAGCTGCGGCTGCCGGTGGGTGGTAACAGGTGTAGGGCATTCTCAGGTTGGGAGAACTCTTGGGAACAGAGACCCAGGAGCCTTCAATCCTTGGCTTCCCTCCCCCACTTGCAGGGATGAGAGATGGCTGTGGTCCAGAGTAGGGCAGCTCCAGGCACTGGGGGATCCCCAGGAGCCGACCTCAGGGACTTGAGGGTGCAAGACACCTGGGCAGCCGTCTTTGCCCACTGCACCCCCACCTTGGGGGGGGGGCTGGGAATTTCCCAACCACCAACAATAAGACCCAGTTGAAGGCCGCCCCCGCTACTGCTGGGACAATGGAGCCTTATGGTCTGAACACCCCAGTGTCGGGGGAGGGCCAAGGCCAGGTGGGGGGCTATCCGTCTGTCTGTGTCTGCACCCAGATGCTCTGCACAGCCTGACACAAGGGGGTTTTCTAGCCAGAACCTTGCTTGGCCCACCCAGGGCGGGAGGCACTGGGTGCGCCTGGCAGACAATGGGGGCCCTTCAATAGTCCCTCTGTACAGAGCTCCCTCCCAGGATGGAAGGAAGGAACCATCTCCGGCTCCCGCTTCCTGCTGGGCGGGCTCCCTGCAGCACCTCTGGGGCTCCGACCGCCGATCCTGTTCCCAAGCCAGTGGACCCTCACAGGCTCGGGTAGCAGGAAGGACCCGAGGACCTGAGGTGGCGACGGGGGGCCGGATGCGTGGATATCCTGCCGCGGCCTTAGCCTTCCATCTCCTGCCAACACCTGGGGCCCCGAGGCCGCGGGG